TCAGCCAAGTGCGTCTGGCGACGGCGACGACGACGTGCAGTAGTAGGCGCCGTGCCCTCCTGCACGGCCGGTGCGGTGATTGGCGTACTGTGTCTAGTATGCATGCCGACGACTTTCCCCCTTGTATTCTATCCCTAGGGTTCTGGATGGACCTAGTGTGTGGGTGCCTAAGCGTGAGCTGGGCTGAGGAGTGTTGGTGGAAAGTGGCCCCGCCCTCACTTGGGCAAAGCCGACTTCGTGGTCGGGTGGACGAGAGGCGCAGCCGGCCGTTATCAGTGGAGGAAGCCGACTTGGGAGGGGAAGTTGATAGTCTTGGTAGACTTTCGCGGCACCATTGCAATGCTACCGACGAAAGGAAGCCGGCAGCCGACTTCAGCTTACTGTTCGACGAGGTGGTCGTCAACCTGAGGGCGCCGGGGACATTACCCGGTCGACTTGGTTACCTGGTTGACGAGCTCCCGCAGGGTGTGCGCAGAGGTCGCCCATGTGGTTTTGCGGAAGTCGATCTGCTGGAAGGTATCCCCAGGCCGAAGTGGCTCATCGGGCGCAACCGTCAGCATGTGGCCGATTCTGCATCCGCGCAATGTTTAGGGCAGTGCTCGACGTGCTCAACCGCCCAGCTACACCTGCAAACTGGGTGTGTGTGTGCGCTATAGTCACCCACAATTGCAACGCTGGCAGTTCGTCGTGCTGCTACGATGGCAAGGCGTCATGGTGCAGTGTTGGCAAGCCACCCCATGTTGCAGTAGAGGCCGACCTGCCTGTATGCTAGGTTGCTAGGCTCTTATGTATTAATTTGATGCCATTGTCATTCCATCATTATCGTGTACCCAACTTTTGCTAGTGAAACTCTTGCCCATTCTCCCTAGGAATGCACAAGTAGAGAGAACACGAGCAAACTCTATGATCGCTCGTACCACCTGGGCCTCCCCCGTGGTCTAGCTCCTGGTGTAGAGTGGCTCTCCGCACATGCTCCTCAAGGACTGAGACTATAGCCTGGCGGGTGACCCTACTGAACGCGTTGGCCAGATCTGTCTGGAAAATAAGGTAGCCCAGGATGGCATCAGTAAAGCACAGTAGCGTATATCATCACTTCTCACCCACGAGCGACAGCTACTCCTTACTGAAGTGGCAAGAAGTACTTTCAGGCATCCTCACCCAGCAAGGTGAGCGCCGCTTTAGTCGCTATAGTCATGATGCTTTCACCTATTGCTCTCGGTTCTTCCCTCAGTCAGGCTTCGCCAGTGCTATAAGGCTGAATTATGTCAGCAGATGTTCCACAGGTTGCGGCAGGCTGCCCCGCAGCACCGTGTTTGATTGTGCGTGCAGGTGTTGATGTTTCTATACTTGCACGACTACAGGTGTTTCGATCAGAAACCATGTGAACTGTGCGGTACAAAACTTTGCTCTGAACATTGCTACTCCAAATATATCAAAAGTCACTTCTTCCCTGACCCGCAGAGTGCGTAGTTGTTATTTGGATGTGCCACTGAAGCAAGACCTATACTTTCCAAGAAGATCTGAATCTGTTTTTTGACCGCTGCCTTTGAACCCTTGATCACCAAGGACGTCATAAAGCTGTAGCGCTTAAATCTACCACCATGCTTAGTTGTCATGTTTTTCCATGAATATAATGCAGCGTGCTCTGCCGAATATACGCCATCAAGGCACGATTGACCAGGCGATAGTGCAATGGCCAAAGGAATAGCCCCTCCCGACCGGATATTGTCCACGCGCATCTTATGCACAAAGTAGAAGGTTGTTTTGGAGGTCCTGCCAACAAGAAAGGGGAAAATATGAAGGGACTGCCAAGCAACAGGACTTGGCATGGTTAGGAATACTACCATGGCACACCCACACCAGAGAAATACGCATGAGACTGTCATGGCGCGCCCACACTATTAAGTGAAATTTGCATGCTGCGGTGTAGTATCAACTTACTTGACTCCCTTGAACCACAGCTTCCCGGATGCTCCTCGGTTTCCCACCACTTTTCCGTTGCTACGTGTGGGATGGAACCTCACAGTATGGACCTCTACAATGAAAGGGCGGGCACAGTGATGATGATGATGATGATGATGATGATGATGATGGTGTGTGTGTGTGTGTGTGTGTGTGTGTGTGTGTGTGTGTGTGTGTGTGTGTGTGTGTGTGTGTGTTTGTGTGTGTGTGTGTGTGTATGTAAGTGTGTGTGTGTGTGTGTGTCTGTGTGTGTGTGTGTGTGGGCACGCGCACGAGAGAGAGAGAGAGAGAGAGAGAGAGAGAGAGAGAGAGAGAGAGAGAGATTGATAGAGAGAGAGAGAGATTGATAGAGAGAGAGAGAGAGAGAGAGAGAGAGAGAGAGAGAGAGAGAGAGAGAGAGAGAGAGAGAGAGAGAGAGAGAGAGAGAGACTCTTCCGAGTGGTTCCGGACAAGTTCCAGAAAATACTATTACACAATACTACTAGTAGTATTACTTGACGCAGCGGTGTCACACAAGTGGGGTGACCATCAAATGCCAGCGCACTACTACCACCGGTACGAGACATGATGGTATGGGACCACTACTAGAAATCGTAGTCGGATTCTACAATTGAATATACTACTATGGCCGTGCTGGAAACTCACCGAAAACCTTCCCTTTCACCACAGGCCCGGATTTATGCCGAACTGAGACCGCGAGGGGCGCTAGGGACGGATGGGAGGACAAATGGAGCAACGCTGCACACGCCGCACCCATGGAGAGCATTACACCTGAGGGAGAAAATCACCGTGGGCTAGTCGGGCACATGTTATGACATGATGTCATAGGGCGATTCTTACTACTACTAGTAGTATCGGACTTTCGAGGCATCACTCACTGATGGAAACGTAGAAAAACGGCGCCGTTCGTTCCATGTTTTCAGGATGAATAGCTGCGTTCTAGGAGGCTTGTGAAGTGAAAGACGAGGCGTAGTATCAAGATTTCAACCAGCAAGAATGTACCACACAGCAGTTTGGGATGGGCTGTGAAGGTGCTGTACAGCTTGAGGCCCAAATTGCGCAAGATCGAGTGCTTGGGGGGTGGGGCTGCGAACACAAAAGTCGAAAGAGATGGGAAGGCGATTTTCTCTGATTTCGCCGCGACACTTCTTCGCTGAGTCAGCAAGCTTCATGGGGGACCGTGCGTTCGGGACCTGGGCCCAGTTCGGCAGGCATTATGGCCATTATGGCCATTATGGGCATTTTTAACGGGCCCCCAAAAAATGGCCCCTCGAAACAGCTGCGAAGTCAGACTGTAGCTGCAGTTTAACTTCGGAAGAATGGGCCCGAATGTTCGGTTGGCATTAAATGGGCCTGGATTAATGGCATCAACCCAAAATGACACTTCGCAGAAGCTCGCATGCAGCTGCGCTGATGGAGCCCAGAATCACTGTACTGGCAGCCCGGGCAGCCCTGCAAACTAGTGGTGGACGTCGAAAAAAATCGGGCAAGAGAATCTGTGCGTTCGATGTGTTAGTGATGGTGTGTTGGTGATGTGTGATTTTCCAGTTGGCAAGAAGAGGGGCATGAAAGACCCGGATTTGTTTTTTTCAGGGCAATGTGTGATTGCCCCGAATCACTGATACCCCGTGTGGTGCGGGCTCTCGAGGCCGCATGGTGCGGCGTATCAGAAAATGGACCATTTGCCTGAGAAATAGGGTTCGAGGAAGATTCCTCTGGTGGAAAATGCCAGCGTCAAAAGGGGTGTTCGGCTGGCATTCCATTATTGTCTGGTTCAGCGATGATCCGCTTATATCGAGCCTAGATAACCTTTCACGCGCTTATCAAAGAAGGTTCCAGGGTGGTCGGTTTACTGTAGCCCATACGGGGAAACCGCTTTTTTAATGCCTGCCGAACTGGGCCCTGGAGTCAGGGCTCTCGATTCATTTTGGGGCACGCTGCTTGATCCGAGTTGTGACCCACTACATCCTGCCTCTGCAGTATGCCTTGGTAGTCGTACCCAAGAAATAGCAGTGTGTTTTTTTTTCGAGGTCGAATCTAGCAGGGTGAAAAATCCGCAAACACTGCCAAGCAAAAACTTCTGGGTCCGGCAGTTGATCCTGCCATTATGGATCCCGGGTCCTGTCTCGATTATAAGTGTGTACCTCAACAGACAGAGGGTGGTCGTCTCTATGCGTAAGTGCGTGGTGGTTGAGCTTTTAGTGGGGTATTTGGGGACATGAGAGGCCTGTCGGTGGGTCTTCTAGGCGCGGTCACTAGCGATAACGCGCCACTCTCTGTGCTAGAGATGAATCCCTGGTGTTTCAAGGATTTCGCCGATTCTGGAATTTCAGTCACGAACACTACTGGACACATTTCAGTCACAAACGCCACTCACTGCGCTAGAGCTGAATCTCTGGTGTTTCAAGTACTTTGCGGATTCTGAAAAATGTCACTCACAAACGCTACTGAACTCATTCGGCTTAGGTGGTGGAGTTCCGTACAAGGGGAAAAAGTTGGCAGGGCGTCTGTCGTAACGAGCCGGGAAACGGCAGTGCGGCATATAAGAGTAAACAACATTTGCAGGGTTTGTTTTTAGCCCTGCCTGACGATGACAGGGTGGACGCCCAGATAAACCCAATTCTAGCAGTGTGAGCCCAAAATCTCACCCTGAAATGCAGAGCAAACAGGGTAAAACGCCCTTCAATCCCGAGGCCTGCCTGGAGTCCCAAATTGCTTGACTCCAGAAACTTGAGTTAAAGCCCAAGACCTGAATTACAAAAAAAGGAAGGCAAACTGTGCACAGTTTGCCTACCGAACCCACAGTTGACCTCCCGAGCCAGGCTGGTTACCAGAAAACAAAGCGCCAAAAAACAGAGTGTCGTAGAGCAGAACGGGTTTGGTTGGCGAGAGTCCCAACCACACCCACCTGAAGGAACAAGGGCTCAAAATGTGCACAGTTTGCCTTCTTTGGTAATTCAGGTCGTGCGATTTCCATAGTACGCGAAGCGATTAGATCATGCGAAGAGATAGAATAAAAAGCCACTAAAGCATAGGCCATGAGCATTTTCACCTTTAATCCTAGCCCATCCCCAAACATCGCATTTGGACCTATCGCCTTCCGCGTCCCCCACGCTTCTCCCCACCGTCTCTCACACACCTCCCCACGCACACGCCCACGCTTCCCCTCACCGTCGCCCACGCTTTCCCCCATCGTCGCTCACGCTTCCCCTTACCGCCGCTCACGCTTCCTCCTGCCTTCCCCCACGCTTCCCCACACCGTCGCTCACGCCTTCCCCCACCTTCCCTCACGATTCCCCTCTCATCGCCCACGGTTCCTCCTACCGTCGCCCACGCTTCCTCCCACCGTCACCCACGCTTCCCCCCACCGTCACCCACGCTTCCCCCCACCGTCACCCACGCTTCCCCCCACCGTCGCCCAAGCTTTCCCCCACCGTCGCCCAAGCTTCCCCCCACCGTCGCCCACGCTTCCCCCCACCGTCGCCCACGCTTCCTCCCACCGTCGCCCACGCTTCCCCCCACCGTCGCCCACGCTTCCCCCCACCGTCGCCCACGCTTCCCCCCACCGTCGCCCACCGCCACCGTCGCCCACCGCCACCGTCGCCCACCGCCACCGTCGCCCACCCCCACTGTCGCCCACGCTTGCCCTCCCATCGCCCTCGGTTAGACTTCCCGTCGACCTCCCTTCTCTCCCACCTCTCTCCACGTCGTCATCACTCCCCTGCCCATCACGTTCCCCCTCTTCACCATCGCGTCTCCACCCATGTCGCCCACCCTCTCATCCCTTCCCATCGCATTTAGGGTCGTCGTTGTATCCCTTCCCCATTGCCTCGTTAGGTCGCTCACGCTCTCCCCATTACCACCTTCTCTACTCCTACCATCGCCCATGGTTACCACCCCACCCTTGCACCCTTATTTCCTTCTCTCTCATTCTCCCTCCCCATCAGCCTCTCACCCACCCTGGGCGGGGAGGTATGGCGAGCTGGGCTGGGAGCTGGGGAAGGGGTCGTGACTCGTTCGCTGTGGGGTGTGGAAGGGTGCGTGGTCAGCAGCACCCACCCTTCTCTCTCTTGCACTGACCTCCTCTCCTCTCTTGCACCAACCCCACACGCATGGCAGGTGGTGGTGCGGCTTTGGAGCAGAGTGTTTGGCGCACAGCCAGGGCAGCGCGTGCAGGCGGGCAGCAAGGAGTGCAGTGCTGCAGGGGGCGGGTCAGGGGAGCGGGGGAGGCGGGGCAGGGGAGGCGGGGGTTAGGGAGAGAGGGTGCAGGGATCCTCCTATCCCCCGTTCCACCCTTATACCCTACCACACTTTTACCTCCTGCCCTCCTCCCTTACTCCGTTCCGTCGTTCCCCCACAGTCGTCCTCCTCTCCCTCTCCCTTCCTCCCTTCCTCCATCATCTCTGCCTCACTACCCTCTTTACCCTCTCTGTTGCCCGTCCTCCCTTCCTCCCTTCCTCCATCTCTCTGCCTCCCTACCCTCTTTACCCTCTCTGTTGCCCGTCCTCCCTTCCTCCCATCCTTCTTTCCTGCCATTCTTCCTCTCCTCATCCTCCCTCGATCCAGTCCCCCTTCCCCTTTCCATCTCCCACTCTCCCACTCCCTTCCTCACGCCAACCCTGCTCCTCCGTTCCACCCTTCTACCTTCCCCCTTGTACCCAGCCGCACTTTTTCCTCTCATCCGCCCATCATCTCATCCGCCCATCACCTCATCCGCCCATCATCTCATCCGCCCATCATCTCATTTGCCCATCCTCTCATCCGCCCATCCTCTCATCCGCCCATCATCTCAATCGCCCATCCTCTCATCCGCCCATCCTCTCATCCGCCCATCATCTCATCCGCCCATCATCTCATCCGCCCATCATCTCATCCGCCCATCATCCATCCGCCCATCATCTCATCCGCCCATCACCTCATCCGCCCATCACCTCATCCGCCCATCATCTCATCCGCCCATCATCTCATCCGCCCATCATCTCATCCGCCCATCATCTCATCCGCCCATCATCTCATCCGCCCATCATCCGCCCATCCTCTCACCGTTGCCCACGCTTCTGCCTTAGTGCCTTTCCGTGCTCTCTCTCCCCTACCCACGCTTCATCTCGCTCACCCTTCCGCCCTTCCTCCGTGTCTCCCTTGCTCATTTTCTGCCTCCGTGCATTCTTTGTTCCCCACCCACCATCAGAGTTTGTGGTTCGTGTCTGTGCAGGTCTGCCATGCATCCAGTTGTGATGAGTATAGGGTTTGATAATATTAGTTGTCTACAATAGCTATGCCATGTACCGTTATTGAAGTTGGTTGGATGCGTCTCATAATACACCACATCGTGATTTGGAGCATTATGAAAACGTGCAACAAAGCAAAATAATGTTCCATTTATGTTGCCAAGACAAGACTATAAGCACAAGCACAAAGCTAGGAGGTGGTAACTTTTTAACCCGCTCCTGTTGGGACCCATGGTGCTGGCACCTGTACACGCATGGTTCTGTATGGAACGGGGAGGGAAGAGGGGATATGGCAGAATAAGCGAGGGGTGAAGGTGGAGGGCATGTATGGGAGGAGTTAGGCAGAGGAGTGAGCGAAGCGGGGAACAGAGTGAGCAGGGTGGTGAAGGCGGTGAGCAAAGGGGATAGCCAGTAAGCATGGGGCTAAGGAGGGGAAATGAGAGGACTTGGGGGGGGAAAAGGGTTGAACAAAGGGGAATAGAGAGTAAACAGGGTGGAAAGATGGGTGAGTACAGGGGGAAAGAGAGTGACCAGAGGGGGAGAGAGTGAACAAGGGGTAAGGGAGTGATCAGGGGATTTTAGGGGCGAGCACAGGGGGAAATAGACCGAGCAGGGGGGAAATGGGTGAGAAAGGGGGAAAGAGGGATGAGAACAGGGGGAAAGAAAGTGAGCAGGGGGGAAGAGAGTGAGCAGGGGGGAAGAGAGTGAGCAGGGAGGGAGAGAGTGGGTATAGGAGTGAGCCGGGAAAACAGGGGCGAGCAGAGGGGGTAAGAGAGCGTGAAGGGGGGAAATGGGGGAGGTGAAGGCGACGGGAGGGGGAAGTGAAGGCGACGGGAAGGGGAAGTGAAGGCGACTGGAGGGGGAAATAAAGGAGACGGGAGGGGAAGTGAAGGCGACGGGGAGGGGGAAATGAAGGCGACGGGAGGGGGAAGTGAAGGCGACGGGAGGGGGAAGTGAAGGCGACGGGAGGGGGAAATGAAGGAGACGGGAGGGGAAGTGAAGGCGACGGGGAGGGGGAAATGAAGGCGACGGGAGGGGGAAGTGAAGGCGACGGGAGGGGGAAGTGAAGGCGACGGGAGGGAGAAGTGAAGGCGACGGGAGGGGGAAGTGAAGGCGAGGGGAGGGGGAAGTGAAAGCGACGGGAGGGGGAAATGAAGGAGATGGGAGGGGGAAGTGAAGGCGACGGGAGGGGGAAGTGAAGGCGACGGGAGGGGGAAGTGAAGGCGACGGGAGGGAGTAGTGAAGGCGACGGGAGGGGGAAGTGAAGGCGAGGGGAGGGGGAAGTGAAAGCGACGGGAGGGGGAAGTGAAGGCGACGAGAGGGGGAAGTGAAGGCGACGGGAGGGGGAAGTGAAGGCGACGGGAGGGGGAAGTGAAGGCGACGGCAGGGGGAAGTGAAGGCGACGGGAAGGGGAAGTGAAGGCGACGGGAGGGGGAAGTGAAGGCGACGGGAAGGGGAAGTGAAGGCGACGGGAGGGGGAAATGAAGGAGACGGGAGGGGAAGTGAAGGCGACGGGGAGGGGGAAATGAAGGCGACGGGAGGGGGAAGTGAAGGCGACGGGAGGGGGAAGTGAAGGCGAGGGGAGGGGGAAGTGAAGGCGACGGGAGGGGGAAGTGAAGGCGACGAGAGGGGGAAGTGAAGGCGACGGGGGGGAGAAGTGAAGGCGACGGGAGGGGGTAGTGAAGGTGACGGGAAGGGGAAGTGAAGGTGACGGGAGGGGGGAAAGTGAAGGCGACGAGAGGGGGAAGTGAAGGCGACGGGAGGGGGGGAAGTGAAGGCGACGAGAGGGGGAAATGAAGGCAACGGAAGGGGGGAGAGGGGGGGGGGGGGGGGGGGGGAGTGAAGGCGACGGGGGGGAAGTGAAGGCGACGGGCAGGGGTCGCGAACGCGACGAGCTGCGGAAGCGATGGCGACGACGCGGGCGACAGAGAGCGGAAGCGTGGGACCTAGGGAAATGAAAGCGAGGGCGAGGGGAGGGTCACGCTTGGGCGAACGGGTGCGATTCGATTTTCGCCGCGAGTTTACGCTACGCAGTAGTTGCACAATAAAATGCATTTCAACACAAAAATCTTCACCCAGCGAGCACTAGCTTTGCGCGTCATCATCAAAATCCGCGCCACCCACATCGTAAGGCGCATCTGATCCCTTTTGAGTGAACGCCGACGCCCTGCCCTGTCTACAGGTATGGTCTATGCCTAATACTCTGCCGACACCCTGCCCTGTGCACAGTTTGGTATGCACGTGCTTTTCTGGTTGTGGGGAGGACCCCACCCATCATGGGAAGCGAGAAACTTTTGTCGCAAAATGGTTTCGCGAGTGAAAGTCTCTCGCAACCCAACCGAACCTCTCCGTGCCTGCCTCCCGAACCTAGTTTTTAGCGTTGACTTCCGTTGAGTAATTCAGGTCTTGGGCTTTAAGGAGGTGGTACACCTAGCTAGGGTTTAGCAACGAACCTACGGAACAGTTGGAGATCGAAAGAAATGTTGGCAATCCTACAGAACAGTGTCCTACCTACTTCTATACAATGATGATTTCGATGACTTTTATTGGTTAACGCTGATTACAATTGTCACTGTGTAGAACACTGTTCTGTAAGATCGCCAACAATTCTTACGATCTCCCACTGTTCCGTAGGATCGTTGCTAAACCCGTACCAGCAATCAGGTTGCTTCGCACCTACCGTAACCAGAGTTTCGCCAAGATACAGCACACAAAAACGCCAAGTGGGCAAGATTAGTACAGTATTCTTGGCCCACACACTCCGCAATTTGGGAAAATACGCCACTCGTAATCAACAGCGGTCTCGTTAATTTATCTGGTAAAAAAATATCGGGTACGGTCACTGTACAGGGTTTTTTCACGTGTTTGATAAAACGTTTCACGGAATCATTCACAATCAACTGGGAAGAAATAACGCTAATGGTCACAGATGAAACTCCCGCCCAAAAAAATATAATACCCAAAACGAACCTGGATGCATGTTCGGATAAATCAACCCTAAACACAACTCGCCAGGGTTGATCCGTTCCCAAACCGCATCCGATTCTGATTGGGTAATATTTTTTTCGAAGGTAGCTGATTGGTTTAGCGCGAGCGAGAATTTTTGTTGAGTTTCAAGAAATTTTTGCGGTAGTTACATGTGTGACCATTCGCGTGATTTTTTACCTGTTGTTAGTGACTGAATCCGTGACCCCACTTACCAGACCCATCAGCAAACCCGATACAGTGACCGTACGCGCTACTTTTTTATCGTTCACGCTATCGAGTCCCGTGTTGGTTACTTGTGACATAATTTCCCCTACAATTTGGGCTTTGAGTAAAAATTGGCATCGCCAATTGACAGGTGTGAAAACCATGTTGGTAACTACCCACTACACCCGGCTACCCTGGATCATCCCCGTAAACCTGTCTGTGCACATCCTCGCCAACCCCCTTAGGTTTTCGTCGTTGACGTGTCCAAGCTGTCAACTAGGTACACCCTAACCGCTGCAATGCCATATCGGCATTGGAGGTTGTCAATATCGGAACTGGTAGTGAAGAACCCGTACACCCTACTAGGTTGTCAATATCTGAACTAGTAGTGAAATGTTTTTGGGGGGAAATATGTCATTCTTAACCAACAAAAGTGTCAATAACATTTCTGATAAAAAAATAATCGGCACGATCACTGCAAAGGGTGTTTTCACGTAATCGGTCATTATTAGCCGGTAAAATAGCGAATGGTTATAGATGACATTCCTGCCAAAAAATTAAACCCAAAAGAAACCTGGATGCATTTTCGAACGAATCAACCCTAAACACGTAACTTGCCAGGTGTTTAGGGATGATCCGTTCCCAAACCTCATCCGATTCCGATTGGGTTTTAGTTTTTTTTAGAAGTTAGCAGACTGGTTGGGCGTGAGCAGGATGATTGTAGAGTTTCAAAAAAAGTTGGCGTTTGTATCAGAATCCCAGCCACTAACCACTGGGATAAAAGGGCTTATTTGGGTAGCGGGTGAGTGCGCCCATAACCCCCCAGGCCAACGTGCCTATAACCCTTCCCTAGGATCAATTGGGGATCACCAGTGGACCTTTGACACCCCCCCGCACTGGGATGCCCGAGGTGCACATTGCGGGGATAACTATTACAACGGGAGCTAGACTACGGGCTAGGCACGGGTGCTCGTGTGATCTCAGCGTTCGTTGGTCCTTAGTCGTTTTCCTAGTGCTCACACTGCTTGCTAGTTCACAAGGTAATTTGGTAAGAGTTTCACTAGAGAAAGTTGACAACAATGGGTACAATGAAGTTGGCATGGCAAGACTACATCAGAGCTAGCATTCAGGTCGGCCGACTGCCAGCACAGCATGGTCGACCGCGTTCCAGCACGACTTGGTCGACCGCGCTCCAGCAGTGCAAAGTCGACAGCGTGCCAACGCTGCAGGTTGACGGCGTGCCAGCGTTGCTCCCGTAGAACAGCAGCGCACCTACTTCGCAGGTGCTCGTAGATGATTGGAGGGCTAAGCCTCGTCACCTCAACAGCGCACGCACCAAGTCATCTTCGTGCTGACGGCTCCACCTGATCCGCCACGTCGACCTCGGGATACCACCACCGAGGTCGGACTCGCCAACTTCGCCTGGGCGACCGTCGCACTCCTGAGAAGAAACGAGGAATGAGAATGACTAAGGGAAAGTTGGGTACAAATGTAAACCCTAGAAAACTGTACCCCATATGTGCTACCCCACTATAGCCTACAGTAGCTATGTCATATAAATCTGACACACCCCCATAGGCAAAGTGGGGGAGAACAAGGGGTCACAAGACCAGTCAAGCAAAGCAAAGCAAGCTCAGGGTGGATCACAAAGTCACCACACATTCCGAGCACAAGTTCAAGGCCACAAGGCCAGTGCACATGCAGGATTACATATATATATAAGGCTAGACAAGCAAGAGCAGGTGTATATATATATGCAACAGTACAAACAAGGTCAAGGGGTGAGCAAGTGAGGCAAGGTAGGCACAAGACCCAGCTGAGTACAGAAGCGCTGATGATCACAAGGCGCAAGTGCCTTGGTGAAGATATCAGCAGTGTTGGCCTGAGAGGCCACGTACGCAAGCCGCAGCTGACCACGCTGCTGTAGCTCACGAGCAAGGAAGTAGCGGAGAGCAATGTGCTTCGTTCTGTGCTCCAGTCTCTGCTCTCGACACAAGGCCAGCATGGCCTTGTTGTCTACGTACAGCACTGGAGGAGAACGAGGCGGCTCTCCGAGGTCAGTCAGCAGGTAGGTGAGCCAGCGAAGCTCCTGTGCAGCCATGGCCCCGGCGTAGATCTCAGCCTCACAACTGGAGCCGAGAACAGAAGACGAGCGGGTAGCCCGCCACGAAACAGAGCCGGAACCAAGGCTGAAGGTGTAACCCTGTGACGACCGCTGCGTAGCCTGGTCGTCAGCCCAAGAAGCGTCTGCGTGCCCAGTGAGGACCACTGGACTCTGCCCTCCAAGCACAAGCCCCATGCCCGACGTACTGCACAAGTAACGCAACACCCTCTTCGCTGCAGCCATGTGCTCCGGTCTGTGTCTCCCAGGAGCAACATAGCGTGCGAGAATGCTAAGAGGGTATGCGAGGTCAGGTTGTGTGCAGGTCATCAGGTACATGAGGCAGCCAACAAGCTCTGGGTACGGGCCACTCGACTCTACGGACTCATCCGAAGGCAGAGCTGAGAGCGAGTGGCGAGTAGGCAGAGGAGTGGCCTGAGGCGAGGAGTACGTGAAGCCGAAGCGCTGAAGGACCTGCTGCACCATGTGTGACTGAGTCAGGGTAATGGTGCGGCGTGCTCTGTCCCGGGTGATCTGCAAGCCAAGGTAGCTGCGCAGTTCACCCAGGTCTGTGCACGTGTGTCTCTTCTGCAGCTCGGACTTCACGTGGGCGAGTCCAGCAGTGTCAGCTGTGGCAAAGACCAAGTCGTCAACGTACACGAGGATGTAGAACGGCGGCAAAGAAGTGTCGGTGCGCAGAAACAGCGACGGGTCGGCAGTAGAGGGAGCAAACCCAAGAGCCGCAAGTGTAGTCCTCAGTGTGTCGTGCCACTCACGCGGTGCCTGGCGGAGACCGTAGACTGGCCGCCGGAGGCTCCACTGGGTGCCAGGAGGAAAAGACCCAGTGAAGCCAGGTGGGCGACGCAGCCAGATCTCCTCGTGCAGGCTGCCCTGCAAGAAAGCAGTGCTGAAGTCAAGAGAGTGCAGCTCGTAGTCGCGGTGAGCAGCTATGTGCAGCAGTACCCAAAGAGTGGTCATCTTCGGGGTGGGAGAGAAGGTCTGAAAGTAGTCAACTCCCTGCCGCTGACTGAAGCCACGAGCCACGTAACGTGCCTTGAAGACAGGCGGAGAACCCGGCGGTCGCTTCACCCTGAAAATCCACATGCCACTGACGATGTTCGCCCCAGGCGGGGGAACCTCGTCAACGTAGGTGCCTGTGGACTTCCAGGAAGCCATCTCTGTGTCCATAGCTGCCTGCCACTGAGAGGAGTAGGGACCCTCTATCGCCTCCGCGTAAGAGCGCGGAGTCGGGATGTCAAGTGCATCCGGGTCTCCCTCAGGGGTAAGCAGTACGGACACGAGATGAGGTGAAGCAGTAGCCAAACACTGGAACTCCTCCTGCCTGTCCTCAAGGACGTCCGTGCCAAGGGCACACTCACCCCCGACGGACGGAGGACAGACAGACTCAGACTCAACGACAAGACTAGCAACGTAGTCTAGACGACAGCGAGCAGCAAAGTCGACGAGCTCAGCAACTAGGGTAGACGCAGCAGTGGACTCAAAGGAAGGGTCAGTGACGACCATAGCAAGGAGACGCGTGACAGTAGGACTGGCAGCACGAAGAGAGTCCGACTCCGGGTCGGGAAGAGCAGGAAGAGAGGACTCAGGAGGAGAAGGCAAAGGGGCACACAGAGGAGCAGTGGACGGACGCAGAGACATCCGGTGCGTGCCAGGGACAGGAGGAGGACGCTGACGCGAACCACGGCCACTAGTGCGAGCAAGACGGACAGGCGACGCAGGGCGAGACGCAGGCTCACGACGCTCAGCCAGACCTCCAGTAGGACCAGTGTAGGGAGAAGGAGCGGGCAGTGTGAAGGCCGGCTGTAACTGTAACTGGGACGGGAC